GATATTGCATGATTTTTCATTGAGTAATTATTTTACAAATGGGACTGTGAGAGAGTATAGTAGGATACATTAACGTTAATTTGTACTAATTAGTCATCAAAAGGGAGAAAAAACAAAAATGTTTACATTATTTCTCTTCGTAAATATTCTCTATACATCTCTCTATCGATCCTGTGAAGCTTAAAGTTCGTTCTGTACTTTCTATGATCTTTTTGGGAAATCTATATAATTCTGGCAGAATCTGTAGATTTCACAACTTTGTAGAGATTCCACAGATTCACCGAGATTGCATAGATACCACGCTGATCCTGTAAAATCACCAATTCTGTACTTTCTCCACACCATTAATATTTCGACTATCACGTGCGATTATTCTCTTTTGACTGTAGATAATTCTGACAAATGAAAGGAATAGACATTTAATTAGATTATATCTCGGTACTACAGAATATTAGATTCGCACTGATAACCGAAGAAACACATATGTCTTAGCGAACGTTTCAAAAGATATTCCGATCGATTGGTAGTCCTCTAGGCCGTTCCTTAGGTTCAGATCGCTGTAATACACCATAATTTAGAATTGTCTTATATGTAACTGCCTTGCTTTTTAATTACATAAATATATAAAGTATAAAAGCATCTTTGTCTTGAACAAAGATTACAATATTACAAATGATCAAGCGATAGATTGAAAAACAATGTTTCTATATTTTAGACTAGATGAACATTTTCAACTAAATTTTATCTTTCTAGCCTTTCAGGCTTTTTGGAGAACTTTTACTGGAAGGTTTGATCTTCTTCGAGCTTCTCACGCCCTGCATACAAATGTATAAAAATATGCTGATGAGTTAAATTAATTATGATGAGGTTTTTGAGATCATGAACGCAATGTTTCGCTTTCCTTTTCTTGAACAATCTAATCACGAATGCTTTTTTTTCGTGATTGATCTTACCGATCATTAATAATGCTGTATATAAGGCAGATTAAAGAAAAAACAAAAGTTGGCTAAATACAAAGAATATGTACTTTCTTCCTTTCGAAAGAATTTCCCGTTCGTGATATATGAGAATGCTTTATAGACGAATACTAAATTTTATTTTGAATTATTATTTTGAGTTTCAGGTAGGTATGACCAACAGAAAAAGGCATTTGGTTACAATTGTTGGAGCTTTTCCAATAGTTAAATCAGATATTGGCAGAATTCTCGAATTTGCGATGATAATGAGTTTTACCACAAAAGTATTTTTGAAGACAGATCAATAACGGATGGTGCGAATGTTTGTCCATATTTCTCGTACTTAAAAAGGTTTTGGAAAACAAAAATAGGTGATTTACAATCGTCGATCACGGTGTTCAAACGCCTTTGATCATTCGTTGTTGCTGAGCAGCAAGGTCATCTTTGAAAGCCTCAAATAAAACGTTTGAACGGACTTTTTTCTTCACTTCTTCGTATTTTAGTTCTTGCGTCTTAGGTGCTTTTCTCTTTGGCTACTTGTCTATACCAGTTTGTAGAGCAAACATTACTCTACTAAACTGTATATTTCCAATAGTTTTTAATAGGTGTGTTACACGAGAAAACTAACTCTAGAAGGGATTTTCCAATTGAGCTAAGACTCAGGAAATAAAGGTTTTGAAGTATGATCTTTCTTTTGGCTCACCCAGCATTTTTTTAAAATGCATGAAAATAGGACTTCTAGAATGTGGACTTCCAAAAATCAGTCCGACCCAAAAGGTATCGAAAATTTTTTTTCAAACAGATCATCAAATAGAGCATTCAGTTTCCTTCCAAACGAGACCTTTCCACCTTTCTACGGTGTTTTGATGAAAAATGCCATCAAAAATGCCAAATATGTCGGAAAATTCTAGATTAAACAGAAATATTGTTTTTCCAAAACCTTTTTAAGTACGAGAAAAATGGGCAAACATTTTGTACTGAAACTTTCGTACCACCCGTTAAAGACAAGAATAGTATCGGAATAGACGAAGAGCGAAATCTCTTTCAAATATTACTATTATTATTTCTGAGTTGTTGCTGAGCACATCATGTTTATAGCAATGGATACGCTGCCAAAGCCTAAATCAATTTAACCTTTTTCTCTATCTAAAATTGAGTTTTGGAACACTTACTTTTTCTCACTCTACTATTTGGTTTGCCAGATCAAAAATTTCAAAAGTGTGAACGAAAAGTGAGGCTTAGATGTCTAAAAGTGAGACAAACATTTTCAAAGTAAAATTACTCCATCGATCCGTTAATAAAAAAGTTATTTTTCGCCAGAAAATGCTGGCTAATTTTCTTGATATCATTCCATTTGAAAGAGTGAAATATCATCTTCATGACGAAAAGTTTTTTTTGAACAAGATTCTTTTAAAATTGAAGAACTTCAAGTTTAAAAATAACCCCTATTTTTAAGAAAATTATGAGTTTCACGCATTCAGAGGTTCTCCTCTCTTCCTGTTCGTGTATATCAAAATGCAGAAAGAAAAGAAAATGTTTGTCTTCCGGCATCGCTCAAAACCATAATTTAAGAATAGATCTTAAGAATAGAGACTAAATGATATGGAAAGAAGGAACAACCCATTTTATAAAGAATTTTCTACTCTTTAATTATAGCTAGAAAAAAAATTCGAAAAACAATCTGATCCTGTTAAACGCCTTTTTGCAGAGACTCCAAAAGTAAATTCACTTAACTATGGTTGAAGAGTATACTCCGTACCTAGAATTAGCTTGACAAAATTCTACAATTACATTTTGTGTATTAAGTTCTACACGCTGGTTAAAATCGCAAGTCAAAAGTTGATTTTGTTTTTGTAGGGTACAACAAACAATAGAACGCCGAAGACTAAAGAGATATACCGATATTTCTGGGCATCACTGTACGTATTCAGATATAAATCTAATGGTTGCTAGGAGCATGGTTATAATAAAGTTAGTTTTTTTTATAAGAAGAATTTATATAAACGTCAGACCGGAAGAAATAGAGTACTAACATACGGATAATGATTGCAATTTCAGTTGTTCACGACAATATATATGTGATTTAACGTTTGTTCTATTCTTTAGTCTATTTACATTCTATAATTACCTTTTTATTTTCTTATACGTATCTCAACTTAAACACTGCAGGAAGATCTCTATACCTGTAGAGTAATTTTTCGAAAAAACACAAAAACTGAATAAAACTATAAGAACACTCTGGGACAGCAAATTACAAAATAAAATCTTGATTTTTTGACATATTATAGAATTCTTTTCAAATTAGAAGTAAATACAGAAAAGTAGAGTATTCTATTCTTTGAGATCTTGACTAATAGAGTCAGTAAATAACATTTTTTATTTTATATTAATTGATGACTAGATTTTATTCTGGATGAATGTTTAGCTTCTGATGACGTCATAAGTATTCTCTCGCTTTTCTAATTAACTACAGTTTTTATAGTTTAATTTTTGCTATACCATATTAATTACAATTTTTTTAATTATTTGTATACTCCTTGGTAGTTTTGTATACTTCTTGGTAGTTTTGTAAACTTCATATATATAGAATTCTATGGAAAACTTCCAAAATCAAGAAGCTTTCATTCTTAGTATTCCCGTGATGAATATGTATATGAGTCTAATTCTACTATAAAGTGATATGTAGTTTGGCACTTCAACATAAATTTTATAATAAAGTTTCCTCTCAGATGAACACGACTGGATATAGGTCTACTCTATTCTATACATCTTACAATCGTACTTTATTTTTCTCAAACATACATTTGTCATTCGTCAAACAAAGAACTAATAATAATAATAATAATCATTATCATGACTTTTATTCATCTATGATTTTTGCTCTGCCCGTCAACATCATTTAAAACAAATAACAGAAAAAAAAAATCAACTTTACTCAGTTCACTTTCTTGTCAAAGCTAACAAACAGCCAAAAGAGAAAAAAGCACGATCAATAATGATAAGATACGAACAAAAATATATATTTAGATTATAATAAAAAGAAAAAGAAGAAAAATAATATTCAAAAACGATGAAAAGGGTGTGTTCATATTTTGAAAATTACAGAAGACACAATAATTCGTGTATAGAGGCGCAACTATGATGTTTTAAATTAAAAATGAAAAAAAAATGTTTTTCTTTGTCGTTCAATACACACTACGTATTCCGTATTTACATGAAAAAAACAAACAAACAACAACAATCACGGATATCGCAAATAGGAATAAAGTGACTCATGTTTAGTAGTGTATGTGTGCTGTGGAATGATGCATTCCGAAAATGAATGAACCAGTTCCTGCAAAGAGATGAATAGATAGAATAATTCATTCATAACAAACAACTACAAACAAACAAACAAACGTTATATGCATAGTTCAAAAATAAATTAAAGACAAAATAACTAAGTTACAAATAAACGACTATGTCGTTCCATCAATTTTCAATTAGAAATAAAAAGAAAAAGAGAGGCGAGTAAAACGAAAAAGAGGAGTAACACTGGAAACATAATTAACGAAACAATAGTTTTTGTGGCAGCAAGACATATATCATAATCAATCATTTTTGATGAGTCATGTATTCGCATTATTTTTGCCTATTTGACAAGTTCACACTTGTCAAGAGTACACTACTTTTTTCTGAACAAAAACAGGTTCGATTGTGTCATCACATAAATGAAAATAATGCCTTCATAACAAAAAAAAAGGCTAGCAACCCTTGCAATTGGGTATTATTTATGAAAAAAATAGTCTTTTCTCTCTAAAATAACAAATGCATACAAGGAAAAACAGTAAAAAAAAACATTAATCTTATTTTAGATTAATCGGTATCATTATATCTAGTCTAGGAAGGTAAGAGCGAACAACATCGAAATAAATAACAAAGAAAAAAGAACGACAACCGTTTGTTTTAGAGCGTAACTACAAAAAAAGTATGATCACGCGGGCAAAATGGAGGCGATTAGGACACCGTAAAGTTTATTAGAATATAATGTTAATCACATTTTTGTTACCCTCTCACTTTCTGACTTGTTGAATTGAATGTGGTTGATGTCGTCGTTTGTTGTTGTTTTCTACAATCGTTTGCTTGTGTTTGGATTGGTACTGGTACTGTTGTATTAGCAGCTGCTGCTAATAAATTAATTGTTGCATCTTTTTGTTTTGGTGATGATGATAATGTGTTATGCATTACTGGACTGCATCTCGAAGATGTTGTTAAATTAGAATTATCTTCGATTGCTGAATAACAAGTATCACAAACACGTACAGGATTTAGTAAATTCAATGTTGGAATTGGTTTATAATGTCTTGCACAGTTGTGGCAGAACACATTTCCACATCGTCTATAAAGAAAAAAGCGAAATGAGTTGCAATAGAATGCATGTACATATGACAATAAATTACCTGCAATGATGTTTGCGTACCTAATAGTAAAATATTTGAAATAAAGCAATTTTATTATAAATATGCTATTTGTGCTTACCACTGGCCAAAAGAATTTTGTATGACATCCCTGACAGCATTCAACAGAAAAGTCGGGCATCCATCGAGTAACATCTCTTGTCGTATCAGATGTATCTACTTTTTGCCAACTTGCACAAGACGATGAATCGGTTGTGCTGAAATTACTTTGGGATATGCTATCCATTCTTGGTGATACATTCTAAACAAAATGCAAGCGCATTAAACGAGAATGCTAATGATTTGTCTTTATAGCTACATAAAAAAAACTGGAAAGATGGCAAAAAAACTGTTTTCTTAACTTCCATAGGAAAAAGTCCTTGTTCACTCTGAAATTTAAGGAAAGATAGCATGACTTTTCTTAATCGGTTTTCAGAAAACTTCTAGTTTTCAGAAAAACGGTAAGGGCAACTCCAATGTTCATATTTGGAATCAACGTCATCATTTACATATAGTCCACCTAGTTTCATAGAAAAAACAATTTGCAACTTGACGTTCTTCCCTTGTTAGAAGTTAACTCAGAACAAGAATTAACATAGTGAATGAAGTTCTAAAAATGATTACAAGTCAACTTTGTATCTTGCAAATAATTTATTAAATATAATTAAATCACGATTGTTATTAACATGAGTTACCGGTGGGAAATCAATATAATTGACATTGTCGTGCAGGCGAGTTTTCTTCTTTACTCTGGAATTTTCAGAGCGTGTACTTTTGAATACAATAATTGAAAATAATGTAACATGCACAGAAAGCAAACTTGCAGTAAAATTTATCTCCGACTTTTTTTATATACCATTCGATAGAGGAGTAGAGATATTTCGAAATTATTAGTTGATTCTCAGTTTTGGGTGAAAATCTCGGTAATTTTTCAATGTGAAAATTCGAAAAACATTAAAGTAGTCGGCTAGAATAGAAATACATATCAATCGACTCAGTTTTTGGTCCTGATTCCGGATATAATATTTTTATTGCTCAAAAGTTGAGTTTTGATCGAGAAAATTGGGAATTACGGGTAAAATTTCGACTTTTTTAAATCTCATTTAGAAAAAATAATTTTTCTTAGCAGTCAAAAGGAATTTTAAAAAACTTTTCGTATAGTTTTGAAGCTGAGCATCTCACGAACCTAATCATATGAAAATATTGGCTCTACTATCGCTAGGAAAACCTGTGATAGGTTTGCAAAATTGGGTGCCGTCTTTGAGCCATGTACATTGAAAAAATTTTTGTGAATAGACGCTTGGTTCTAAAAATGTTTCAAGACGATTTCCTAATTCAGTTTTAGATGCTGAATCCAAAAAACTTTGTTTCGAGCATTGAAATCCTAACGCAAAACAAAACTAAGGCCATTTTTTTGAAACTTTACATTTTTCCGTGTTTTGAGTTTTTCGACAGGAAAAAAGTGTTTAAAAAAACTCGAAAGACACATATTTGTGATCAGCGCTATCTCCCCTATCGAATGGTGTATAAAAAAAGTCAAAAATAAATTTCACTGCAAGTTTGCTTTCTGTGCATCTTAATTTGAAACATGAATTTCATCAACAACTGCGTCGTACAATTTATACAGCTGTAAAACGCGCGAAGAAACTAATCGCAGTTGTTTTACACGCTTTTTATCTGCTACATCCTTTCCACTAATGGCAAGCTATGAGTATAACAGTTGTAGTTCGAAGATTACACTAGAAGAATGATAACGGGCTTCGAGACAGTCACATCACTCGTCCACCAATGGTGAAGAGATTCGCCCTCGAAACAAAAGCAACTAATCTCCGAACTATGAGTCTAAAGAAAAATGCTTTACAACACAGTACATTTAAGATTCTGTACAATTGTGTGCTTATGTAATTTAAAAATACAAGAATAATGACAGTGTGATGGTGTTATCACATAAGAGATCTACAATCGTTATCAAAAACTGGATAGAAATGCTGAGTTTGGAATGTATGTTCTTCTTTTTGAAAGCTTTTACAATTGTAGTTGAAAATCGATAAATTTTATCCTGTGCAATTGACTAGGAAAAGTGGAAGAGAAGAAAATAGAAAGGATATTAATTAAAATTAGTATGGATCTGTAGAAATCAACCAGCTCATTCTTTTTTGTACTTCATCACATTACCTGCGTCGTCATATTACATTTGATAATAGTTGTTAGAAGACGTTCCATTCGTCTAATATGATCATGAAGCTCTTCAATTTTTTTCTATTTTAAAAATAAACGAAAGAAAATATAGATAAATATAGATCTATAGATGCGCTAATACAAAAGAACAAAAATGTTTGTTTTTCTTTTCCTATTTTAATCTTACCACATATGTTCGTTCTTTTTGTAACATTCTTGATGTGGCAACATCGTTTATCTTTGTTAAACCATCGATATCAATACGTTTTCGAACAGATTTTACTGACCTGTCGCCATATGAAGAAGACGACGATAAATGGTGCAACTGGAAGAAAAAACAATGTTATAAGTCGAACACAATATATACAGTTTCTCAGAGATCCAGTGTTTGCAAATAGTATGTCATTAAACAGTAAATATTTAAATAGTCGTTATGTCTAACTTACCATTTTTTGTGGAGTATTGTTATTATCGAACGATGATATTTTCGGTAGAGACCATGCTTCTGATAAACTGGATGTTGTACTCGATGTTGAATTTGTATGTTTTCGTGTTGACATCGTTCGTAATACTGCACTGACATTTAACGGAAATTTTTGCATCGACAGTGCTAATTGTGTAATATCTGGCGCTGAGTCTAAAGATGAATCATCCATCGTTTGGCCATTACTCAAATAATGCTGATCCCCGCAACTGCAATGTCCATTTGTCAGAGAATTTGTTGCCGTTGTTTGATTTGGTGTCGTGGTACTGTTTGATGTCGGTAACAAATTTGAATTACTTTCACCATTTTGTGATAAAGCTCCGCCAAGATGATGAGGAGGACCAAATAAACTGTTTGATAATGATGAATTTGAGTTTAGCAAATGACCACTATTCTGATGTTGTAAAGTCATACCGACATTATGATTACTTATAGTGATGGGAGGAGTTGTTCCTGTTCGTAGTGTGATTGAAGACTCCATACTACCACTCAAGGATGGATCTGATGATGAACGATGGAGTCCGTTTAATGCTGAAGATGATAGATCTTCATAGGAACGACAACGAGGTACTAATGACGAAGTAGACGATGGCAATTCACACGGAATGGATGGTGTAAAACGTGTATCACGTAAATATAAATTAGTCCATATTTTCAAATCGCGTACAGAATAAGAGGGATATAAAACCTAAAATAAAAATAGAAGAAAATATTTATTTTATTTTTCTTAAATGTTTTATACCGTATATCTTACTTCCTTCTTTGTGTCATCAAATAAATGATTTATTAACTGTGTTGATTTCATATTTAATAGACTCCATACACTATGTGTCTTCTTTTCTAAATTCCATGTGAAACGTTCAAAATCGGTATTGCATAAAAATGTGCCATGTAAACATGTATAAGTATGACTTGCTAATTTAAGCTTAAAAGATAATAGACATTAAATAATACGTAGGCCATTTTGATAAGAATGTATATAAAAAGGAGTTACTTACTAAGAACATTTCATTAAACTCGAATGACACTGAATTTTGTGCCTGCAATTGATAAACGCAATCCAACCATTGAAGAAATACCGGGCTACGTTCATTTGGATCGGTAGCTCCAACTCCGTGGCCGCAACGATCAGCAAACTTGTGTCCGAATGCAATCCACTCACGTTGAATTAGAGTTTGAAAGCCCTAAAATTGAAGATTTTATGTGGCACAAACTAAAAAATCATGTGAAAGAACTTCACCTCAATCGTCCGATAGTACGGATCTAGCATAATCTGAGCAAGAGCCGTAATCTGTGGTGTACGATCCCATCCATCAGAACAATGTACTAAAACTGGGCGTGCTTGTTTATCGATTGTTGTTGCTACAAAACTAGCTGCAGCTAATAATAAGGATATATTGTGAAGCCATCGAGTTGATTCTAGTTGTGATAACCAACTAAAATAGCATCATAGAAAACATGTCACTGTTATAAAAGTCAATTAGAAATTATATAAAATTACTAAACACAGCAATTTAAACATAGGAAAATAAAGTCATCCACTATGTTGAAAAATAAAACGTTGATGGTTTGCCTTAGAATACAATATATTCTTTCTTCTGTTTTTTGGAAATAGTCGAAAGCACTGTTTACATGAAAATAAGATACGAAGATAAGATAAAATTACCATTCTCCGTTGGCTCCGCTAGCTATTGAAGTTCTTAACATTTGTGCACTTTTTCGAATTGCATGTATGTTAGGTAAATTCATAAATTGAACCTCACAATCTGCATAATATGGTGGATACTCAAAACCTCCACCTTTGGCACGATTTGCAATTGCTGCAGCATAACTACGAGCGTCAAGTATTAGTAAACGATTTGAACCAGGTTCACCTATAAAAAAACAGAAATTTTTTATCAACAAAATAATATGTTTGTTTTTCTTGTAAAATGTGAACTTACGATTAGGCTCCGTATAACAAGATTCAATGATAGCTGCAATCATTTTTTCATCTTCTTTTGACCGCCAAAACAACCATCCAACTTCAGGCTGACTAGTTCGAGCAATAACAGCTCCATTTTGATGTCTAAAGCAAGAAACAGAAGTATCAAACCAAGATTGTTCAATATACAAAGATACAAATTATATAGTGTTAACTGTCGTCAAAGTTTCAACTACTTCGAAACTATAGATTCTATTTCCAATAAAACTAACCTCCATACAACAGTTGGAAATCGTCTGTATGATCTAAATTTGGCCACTTCGTTTAATTCTTCATCTGTAATTGATGCTGGTACAATACAGTATTCAGGATAACTCGCACACAGTTTGTATTTTTTATTTATGGTTGTTAAACGCCATGTGTTTGAATCTAATTGTAATCTTGAAATTTCTTCTTGAAATCGATCTTTGTTATGTTGCGTTTGTCTTTCTGTATGTTCTGTAGGTGTTGCTTGCGCAAATTTGAAAGCAAATAAATCTTCAATTGTTGGTGGGGGTGCGATTGCATCAGAAATTTTTTTGAACCACCCCGTACACTTTTCTCCGGTAAAAAATGTCAGACGAAAACATCTAATATCTTTACAATGAACGTATAAATATAGATTATCTTTGATTTCAAGACACTCGATTAAACGTGTTGGACAATTAATAAATGAACCACTATCATTTGAATATATGAATAGACGGTAACATGTCAAATAAAGAAGACCATCGGCTGATGAACAATGATGAATGACATCTTCACCTGACAATAATTCGAATGGTAATTCATTGACATTCGTAGATGATGATTCTGTTGTACTATGTGTACCGCTTGACGAAGCATTTATTGAACTAGTTTTCAATATTCCTGGTAACTCATTGATCACGTGCATATCATCATCTTCAACTGAGGATGGAACAACCATAATAAGCACGTTCAATAAGTTTAAATGCAGGTGAATAAATATGAAAAGAAAAATAAAGCTTGTTTTGCGTTCATGAATACCTAATCATAATCTAAAATGAAAGTCAATGCAGACCGTTGTTTATAACGAATATCTGTAAGAGAAATAAGATATTTTCTGGTATAATGAGTGAAGTCACAACAAAAGATGTAAATCACCCATGCTAGCTCGACGAATATCAAAGAGAAGTTCAGTAACACATTTCAAATCACCAAGGAGTTTACTCTTCTCAAATGGAATGGTTGATTTGTCTTTGATTAAGCTTCATCCTACAAACAGTTTACTTTTCGTTTATAGATTTTATAATCTATACTTTTTCTTCCATTCACCTAAATAGATCAATAACATTGCAATTCAAATCAGATGCATAATTTCTGCTGAGAGATGAAAATAAGAAAATTAGTGGTCATTTTAGAAGGCGAGAAAATTGACTCGAACCATGATATTTGAGGATGATGGTGTTATACAGTCCTAAAAGTATTGTGAAACTATCCATATATTCTGTAGTTCTAACCAGAGTCAGTTTCCGCTAAAACTTGAGCGAATAACGGTGTAGTGGCGATTTGTTATAGCAGTAGGACTTCATCAGATACAATCGTGCAATAAACTAACAGTTCATCGTAAAAGTACCTAATTTAAATTAGATACAGCTACGATTTTCTTTATTTTAACTATCTCCGACCAACTTTATATTTCAAGTGTTTAAAGTAGAGATTTAACAAGCATGATATCATAAAAGGTACATTTCGGACTCTTTCACATAAGCCACTACAATCAGTTCTATATAACTCTTATATCAAATCGTTCTGAGATGTTCCTGTTAACAAGGGATATTTTGAGAAAAGATAGGCTAAAGGATACCTTTTCGATTGAGTTTTAAGCAAAAGCAGATCCCTAAGATGATACTTAGTAGGGATACTCTATGAAAAAAATAAGCCTAGAAATGTTTTCATGGACAAATTACTTTTTCCCAATGAGTCATATTTCGTATGAGGGCACCAGACAGAATGAATTCTTTTATCCGTAGTAAAAATCAGTCATATGTGTAACAAACATTGAGATGCATGAGAATCTATAAAAAGTATCAATTAAAAGAATATATGCTTTCGTTTTTTATTTTGATTCAATTCTTTCGAGTTATTGTTTCTGCATTTCGTGTTTTTCTCCATTGCATTGCTCACATTTTTTCTATTTCTGCTATGCTATACTGATTGTGTGTGTGTGTGTGTGCAGGAGGTGTGTTTCAATTGACCAATCCAACTTTAGAGAAAAAAAGATTTAGTTCTTACTTTGATACTAAAAGAAAAAGAACTGTTATTAAAATGATGTCAAATAAATCTGGTGTATTTTAGATATTCCAGGCCGAATTACAAATGACTTGTGCTGGAAAGTGGCGTCATCTACTACAGCCTTCAAAAGAGACAGAATTACTTGTCGACTGGAAACAAATAAGAGAGTTTTTGTTTCAGTTTTTATTTCTGCATTTTTGAAAGTTTAGGCCCTGTCTAGATCAGAGTGTGGTCTGATAACTGATGACTCATACAATCGAAGGCAAATAAGCGCTATCTCATTTTCAGTGTGTAGAACTCAATTCATTAGATGGAAATTTCAATTATAAGCCGAAATTATGATATATTCTGTTTCAAGTGTTCAAATTGTTCGGATAATTAGTCCTTTATAAGAAAAGTCACTGATGGCACCATCATATGTGACTATTTTAAGATACTTAATACCGCCATCATCGATTCCCGTGTTTGTTCGAGAGATCTGACTGTTTTAAATAATTCTTTTAATATAATATTTTCTGATCATATCCGAGCTTGTCCGATGAATTTGAGTTCTACTCCCACACACTTGAGACTAGAGCTGCGAAAAATAGTGATTTTCTTTTCTTATTCACGTTATATAATATAAAGTTCGTACACACTACACTATATATAATATAACGTGAATAAGAAAAGAAAAAAGAAAAGAAAATCGCTATTTTTCGCAGCTCTATTGATTACACTTTTTCATGCAACTGAATTTTGTCAGTT